CACCATTTAATTCCTTTTAGAAATGTCTCTATCATTAATTTTTCATTGTAAAGATAGAGTATCTGTAGTGAAAAATTGATACTGTATATTATAAATCTAACCACAGTTATATCCTATCTAACAGAAGATAAAAGGTAGATAAAGAAGAAGAAGAAGCTTAACTATTGGATGCTACTGTATCATCTATAGAAAAGTATAAAGAAGATCTACACCATTTTTTTTTTCCAATTGACATTCTTCTTCACTTTTATTTCATCTTTAATGCAGCAAAATAGCACCATTAGTAGTGATTTGAACGACAATTTGACTGCTGCAGTCACACCTACGCATATTGCAGAGCATCGAAGTGTGAAGAAAACTAACGAAAGAACATTCCCACTCGACTTTCCACGCTTCGTCACGCCTCTCACGCAAATTCCAATTGTTTAATGGATTTTTATCGTTCCCATATTGTAATGGATTTCCACGAACGTTTTTAGAAGTAGGACTTTAAAAAAAAAAAGCTAATAAATTTGTAAAAAATATTAAAAAAATCCTTCGTCTAAGTAAAGCCAGGGATTGAAGTTAATTACGTTAACGTTGCGGTTAACGAATACATTTAAAAGTTTTACATTAATAATAGGATGAGGAACGTTTTCCTCTGTTAAAATTCATTAAGTGTTTAATCAGATTTTACAATGTAAGCCCTACAAGTACATCAATTAACAAGTATACTACAGTACTTATAAACATTAGAGACAAAACAGGAAGAGTAAATTAATAACTTTGATTTAAATCTCGAAAGACATAAAGTGTAACAAAATTGGCTTCGTTTATTTCGATCGATGAAACTAAAGGAAAAGAAAAGCTATCGAGAAGGAAATTTAGAAGCAGCATCCATCAGATTTTACGTGTAAACAGAGGAAACAATTGTTTATCCACTTAAGTGGATACAAACAATAAAGAGGAATGAGGATCGTCCTAAACGGTTTCTACTCATTTAAGGGATGGAAGAGGGAGAAAACGGAACATTAAAAACCATTATCGTCACCACTCGAGGCGTAACAAGAGCTCTTTGTGTGACTCATATATAAAAAAAAAAAGAAAGTTAATAAGAAAATTTCATTAAATTTCTTCGGCTACATTTTCCATATTAAATTTAAATCCAATAAAAGTACTTTAACGTATTCTCTGTATGGAGGTTAATGCATCTTTCACCCCCGGAGACTTCTACTTTTCGGTATAAATCTTATAAAATTTATTATCACGATAAACTAAATTAATTTTGAAGTATGAAATTAATCAAAGTTTTGTTGACTTTTCTTAAATTTTATATTGGATATTCGATTATCTCGAAGATATTTTGACTCTTCGTAGTGTATTTTTTTTTTTTCTAGACAATGGTTCCGTCTCGTAATTTTATAAGTTAACTCTATGCCGAGCTGTTTTATACACGGTTAAACTGTTAACGAGCTTTTAAAATTTATGTCCGCATTAATTTAGAAAATGTAAACTTCGTGTAGAATTTCCTGTTTATTAAATAGCTGAATAGTGTAATTTTAAAAAGACGAATAGTGAAAATAAATCTCTAAATCTCATCAATTGTCGGTGAGATTTCCAGCATCTTCCACATTCATTATCCGGCATTCATAAAATATCCTGTCGAATTTTATCATCTTTTAATATTTATAAACCTTGTAGAATATAAATAATTGCTATGAAATCTTAAATGAGGTATAATGTAATACGTAGTAGCTTTTGTGTTCAAGTAAGATGACATTTCTGAGTTAATTTCGACGTCACAGTGGCCGAGAAAATCCCGTGTGACGTACAGTACTTGTACGAGTCGACATCGTCATTTTGACAGAATGGACTTCCATAAGTCCACATTAGCTACATCAAAGGTATATAGATGGGTACTGTACATCATTAACACCCCCGAAAGTCACTGGTGTGTTTCTCGTTACAGGAAATCAATGAGTATTTTTCCCTATCGATATTGTGGAAACAACAAAAGGTTTATCATAATGAAGATTTTTTTCCCCTTTACGAGCTTAATCTTTAACGAGATAAACTATAGAAAGGGTTATTTTATTGTGTTATAAGACGTAGATTATAGGAAGAAGAATTTCATACAGTACTTAGTGATGTTGGAGATGAATAGATCGAATTCTAGTAACCGTAAAACGCTAATAATAGGCAAATTTGACTTCAATTATTCCGAAAGAGTTTGATTTTTCTGGAAGAATGAACGATTTTAACTAAAAATAGAGATAACGAAATCAAAAATCCTTTCATTTACGAAATCCATTTAACTTTAGAGATAAAAGGGATTTTCTCTTGGATAATGAATTACTCTAAGATACTTTTCTATCGGAATCCTTTGAGTAATTAAGCTCTATATTTTCATTAATTAAGTATTACATCGAGTAAGAATTTAGAAGGTAATTTAATGTCAAAATAAGTAGTATTTTCCTTTTAACTCTACGGATTAATGTACATATTCGTAATTATCGTCTTCGTTATCTCATTTAAGGATTTAACTTCGTTTTAGTCATTTTTATTTCTTTAATTCGATAATTTATAGCATTTTAGAATAGTAAAGAGTAATATTTTCGATCCATTTGCCATCTTTTACTATTCCAGAAGCTGATGCGGATAAAATAAATGCACTCTGGATACGTTCTAGAGCGTAAGAAAGGATAGAAAACAATTTTTTACAGGCAACAAAACGTAGTTTTTATGAGTTTGTAACATCTGCAAAAGTTTCGAGATTTTTGGAGGAGTATAAATTTTAATATTTTCAATAAACTTGGCCATGTCTATTGGAAGATGTGGATAAAAAAACATTAATATCAAACGAAGCAGCAGTAACTTTCTTCAAAAATTACAGATAAACAGCAACAATCATACAATTCTAGAGAAAAAAAAGTAAAGAAAACACACATTTGAGAGCTGTCATATAATTTTTAAATGGATTTTTCTTGTTTGTCAGCTGTCTTAATTAGTTAAAATAGCGACGATGTAATTATACGTTAGAAAATATTCTATTTAAAATATTTTTAGAAAATTATTCTTTTTATCAGTAGATGAATTATTCCCGAATTTTTATTCTTATTCTGTATTCATTTCTACAAAAGGCTTTTACATTTACGTAACCAATCAATGATTTTCTACTCTACCTCTTGTTACTCTTCATCCTCTTAACATTAGATTACATGCAAATATCTAGTGTAAACTACTAATTTCCACATTACTTCAGATACGTTCATTTATGCATTTGCTTCCCACTAATTAATTCTGATAAATTCAGTTATTAATCTTCGTCTTCTCGTATTTGTTACTGGCAGCTTCATCGGACCATTGTCTATCCCTCTTTATAAGGCCAATTACTTTTTGTAATTTATGATTTTAGTAATAAATTCTAGATTAATGCGATATTCTTTAAGGTTTGAAAACTTTCGAAGAGAAAAAAATATTCAAGAAAGGGAAGGAAATGTATCGCATTTCATCAAAATATCACTTTTACAATTACCATTATCTATGATTTATTCCTATCAATCATTTCTGTCAATAGATATAAACCAGCGAAATTATATATATATAAACACATCCTTTTTTTTTAAATCTAAGACAGTTTTAAAAATAAATCGATTTTCGAACCAACAAAATAATATATTTTGATAAAATTGCCAAGGAAAAAAAATAAAAAAAAAACCTATATATTTCCTTTGTAAAATTTATTTCTTTATCTCCATCCCGTCCAGATGTTTGTTCTGTTCGAGAAGGCAACTCGAAGGGGTGCTCTACAACATCATATTTCAAACAGCTGCAATCACTTCTCTCTCACATCGAATGGCATCCTCAGTCATAAAGTATATTGGAGGAAACTACAAGGCTATAAGTATTGTTTTAATGAAGAAATCTCTCGTCTTTCTACTTCTCATTTAATTATTTTCTCATTTCTAATTCAATTCTTCTTTCTAGTATCATATTTAATCGCACTCTCTTCTGTATTTTTTTTTCTTATAAAATTAAGAAAATATAACAGTTATTTGTATAATTTTCCTTTAATTCTTTCTTGTAGATAATTTCGCTCGTTATTTATCTCGAATTAAAGACATTTTTACCAATTCGAAAGAAGCAATTTCGTAAGAAAACGAGATTCGAACGGAGAGATTCGGAATTATCTTCATACTCTTTAGTGAATTTTTTATTCAAATTTTCAGCTCAATTACCTCAGTTTTCATGAATTTTTCAAGAAATTTTTATAAATTCGATGGAAAAATGCTCGACTTACCTGAAAAAAGTACCCTTTAACATATACATCGAATGGATAATGCGAAGTTTTACGCTCCTTAAACTCTTATCTTTTCTTGAACAAAAAAGTTTCTTCGAGAATATAAAATCGATTCTGTGCAACAGTTTTATGGTCCAAAAAAGATTTATAGAGAAAAAGGAGGAAATATTCTCGGAAAATTCATTGTAATAAACTTCAAGTTTCGATGGAAAATAATAATATTTGTGTGAATTAATTACCCTCTGTTAGTTGTACTGTATATAAATTTCACTCCTGCAGCTTGAGTTTTCTTATAATTTCCATTCGATGCATTAATTTAGTAAAATGAAACGAAATTCTTACACGAAACAAAGTAAAAGAGAACTAAATTTAATAAATTTATCGAAGAGAATTCGAATTATACTCGAAAATAGAACACCCCAAGAAAGAAATTCTAACTATATTAAGATTATTAAAGCGTAATCTCATTCCATACACTTCGATATAGAACTGAATTACATCTAAGTTAATCCAGTTACAGATACTTTAATAAAAATCAAGTAAAAAGACGAAATTTATTTATCCTCTATTAAGAGTTTTCTAGACTTTTTTCAAGAACAAAATGTATTTTAATTCAAAGATTTAACTATAATTAAAACATATTTTACTATTTAAATATTATAGAAACATTTTTAAATTGTAATTTAAGGGTAAATATATTAACAAAGTGTAATTCACCAACCTGATAGAGAAGTGTGGCACTTTGTCTGTCTTAGCCATCCGTTGTGAGCCAAACGGGTTCGTCTTCGTCACGCATGTGTACTGGTTACGGTATCCCGCTTATCTGTCGTCACTCTCGATCGATTTCGTAGCTGGAAGTGCAACTTACAGACCAGAAATCGTCTCTTTTATACGTTAACTTCTCGATTTCGATTTATGCAACAGGAAGAAAATCTTCGTTTGTCTCTTACCACACTATTTATATATAATAGAGAGTAATATCTAAGTGCAGGAAGAAAATCATCGTCATCTACTCCATAAATCTGTTCGAGAGCATCGAGATTTGGTTTCTGTTATAGGAATTCCGTAAATTGTTAATGGGTTTTTTTTTAGTTTAGAATGGAATTTCGTTAATCGAATTTGTTAAATTATTTGGTATCTGGAAATATATATTCGACGATTCTTTCGCTTCTTAACAAAATGATCTGCTGAGAAATTTAATTTTCTTAAATTGCAGTATTTACTTTAATCGCCTACCATAAAATTTTCTCGAACGGAGCGTAACATTAATCGAAAAGAATGAAGGTACTAAGAACCGACGACATTTTATCTCTAAATTTAGATATTTTATTGAATTTTTATATCTCTCCCTCGTCCAAATTGCCAGATAAACTAACAGACCTCAGACTCGAAGGTGCCTTACGACTTAAAGTTAAGCGTCGAATTCCCTCGGACGACATTAAAATTAACCCCTCCCCCTTCCAACTCATTCGTTTCTCGTTGTTTACGCCTCTCGTGTTCTCTAAGATGCTACGAAGACTATCGTCTCCGTCGATGGAAACTGATTAGAGATAAAGAAAACACGTGGTGTAACGTGCAGTACGATTCTATGATCTTTAAGACGACGTCACTACTCTTCCTTCCTCCAGGCAACGATTCTGACATCACTGTTTCTCCGACCCTCGAGACCCTCTTCGAACTCGATCGCGATCAATCTTCGATAAATGGAGCGAGTTACTTCGATTGCACGCATCGGCCGTCATTCTCCACCAACTTCGATATTGAATCTCGACGTCTTCTCCCCGTTCTCCCTTTTGTAAGTAACTTATCTCGAGCATCCTCCGTAACCACACTTCTTTCTTCCACTTCGTCGCATCTAACAGCATCGTAATCGGTACGACTCCATCTCTTTCAATTGAACCACTGCTCAATACAACCAGTTTGTTTAAAAAGATAAAGAAAAACACATCTTACACAGTAAATATCCTATTTATAATAAACTTTCCGACATTATAATTTTGTTTTCTCTATTCTACGTTCTTTAAAAGCACGTAAATATAGGCCTATATATATATATTAAACTTTTAGATTTTTTAAGCCCTTATACCCTACAATACTTATTGTCTTTTATATTATTAAACAGTGCTTTAATTAACTTAATTTTACACAAACTTCAACATTAAAAATGCGTGACTAAATTTTTAAAAATTTATTAATAATTATTTTAAAAGACACCATTTACTTTGAAGGACAACGTTTCTTTATTAAAAAGAAAAATATTTTTAGTTTAATAATTATAGATAATTAAAGGGTGGGAATATTTATATGCCATACTTATCACGTTCATTCTCAATACCCAGCAATTTTCTGTACATTTTTCTGATGATAACAAGAGGAAAAATGAATATTAAAAATGTATATAGAGCGAGAAATCTCGTTTCTAATAAAAATAATAAAATATTCATTTAATTTGTGCGGTATTGTACGTACTGTACGTTAATTAAATTAATCCCATCGCTTCTCTAGGAATGAATGGCCAAAATGAACAACGTCAAAACCGAAAATGATAAATATTAATACAGTTAATTAATTCCTAATGAATAGTTTGTATCGTGACTTTCTTCTTAACAATTTATACCAAAAACTATGTATCACTGATACGAATATTACGGGAGAATGGTAAAGTTTTCAATTACGTTACTGTAAATTAGCGCTACGAAAAATAAATTTAAGGGAATTTCTTGTTAATTCTTTACTTCACATTTTAGTTAATCCTTTTCTTGGTTTTTCTCTTGCAGAGCTCATCTATACAATGGAAAAAAAAGGAAATGAGATAATTCTTTTCGCATTATCTGCAAGAACTGTTATTCGACAGAGAAATAGCATACGTTCATTAAGGTTGATACAATAATGTAGTTGGCATTGATTTTTTTCAATATTATCTGATTGAATGAAAGATACGAAGGACAATAAACAAATTAGCAAACTTGCTTAAATTTATGCTAAGATCGTTATAATAATAAATAAAGTTCAGTAAATCAATAATCTTACTGAGAGTAAACGATAAGGAACTTAAAAAATATAAATAAATAAATAAATATAGGCTTATAAAATAATTCTCAATATTTGCCGAAAAAATGTTGTATTTTATATAAAAATTATTTCATTGACCAATCATTGTTTAGCCATTCAGACTTCTAACCAATCATCGTTAAGCAATTCAAACTTCTAATGAATCGTCGTTAAGCAATTCAAACTTCTAACCAATCGTCGTTAAGCAATTCAAACTTCTAACCAATCGTCGTTAAGCAATTCAAACTTCTAACCAATCGTCGTTAAGACATTTAAATCCATAGTTAAGAATTTTTAAATACCTTATTTCACCACAAATACATTCGTTTCTTCAATATTAAAGTCATTCTTACATCTCTGTGATAAGAAAGTATGAAGATGGCGTTAAATCTAAGTAAAAGTAGGCACAATCTGACGTCTTTTCCTATTAAAATTTCCTTTTAAAACGAAGAATAAGCAATATTTGGAAGTTATTTAACAAAGTTGACAGCTTAAAAATTTTATTATTAAATTTTACCAGGAATTGAATATCGTAAAAAAGAGGATCAAATCCGACTTGACTATTCAAAAGTTACATAATACCAGATAGAAAACCATAAAAGTAGAAGAAAAAAAAATGTCAGAAAATTCGGTAGAGATTTTGGCCATTTAACCATAATGATAGAGGATGGAAAATAATAAAATATTGAATTTTTTTTCTTTTTTTTTTCCTGGTTTGCATTTCTACAGAAATTGGTTTTCGTCTCAAATGTCCTCTCGACCACGATTGAAAGTTATAAAAATGTTCGTAACAAGATACAATTTGTCCTTCTAGCATCCCAGATGCAGGATGTTTGTAGGAGAGAGAGAGACGATACAATTTCTTGAATACAAGTTCCTAAAATTTGTTTGGTTATAACAGAAAATAAGATTTACTTCTAATATTATTGAGAAAATACTAAAATTTGATGAAAACAAATTCGCTTCTCAATGTATTATCTGAAATACCATCCTCGTTATCAGTGAGTTACGCTTAAGATAATGATATATTTGAAAATAATAGAGTTTTTTTTAGTAATTTCTTTCTTAAAACAGAATAAAAGTAGGATATTTTACATAAGGATTTTGAAGTAAAACTGTTCTTACGAATGTACAGCACAAATTTCAAGAACAGAACACTTAAAAAATCTTTATTTATAAGTATTGTGTCGTTTTATTTACTTTAAAGCTCTATTGTTTAACTTTTGTTTGACAAACTGTAAAGTACTTAAGAACTTTTTAATATAATCGATTTTCTGTAATTAAATGCTCTCAACACGCAATCTTCCACGTCTCTGACGTTATTTTAACCACACCTATTTGTTCAATTGTCACGATCGAAGTAGAGCACAATAATAACTGTACTAAATTAGACAGTACTTATCGAAAGTACGAATGCCATTCGTTCAAACGTATTGTTTTAATATGCATTATTTCCAATTACTTATCAGTCTCTACGCTGATACTGTAGCCTGGAGGAGGAAGAATACAAAGTATTAATCATTGTATAACGTCTTCGAATCACTTTTGACTCATTACTACGTCTCTAATGAAGAAATTAACTTAAACTCTCATCACTGGTGTTAATGACGTTTCGATGCAAATAAATTCCTCCGTGTATAATTTACAAATAAAGTTTATATCGTTAAATAAATAAATAAACCTCATTCGGAATAAAGATCTTAAAGGAAAGATATAGTAAAGTATCGTAAAGGAAATGAAGTATAATTAATTAATTTAATTATTTTATTTAAAAATGTACGATTTGTTATGAATCAGAATAAAGACTTCTGTTTGAAGGGCTTAAAATTTAAAAGTTTATTTTAAAATAAATTATTATTATTATTAATCCTGTAGATCTGAGATGCCGCAGATTTATGAAAATCACTTCAAAGACTAGGAATTTCTAATTTCTACACGATAATAATCACTACTGAGTATCTAAACTAAAGTATCTTGAAAAGAGGAAAGGAATAACACATTATATATCTAGAACTATCGAATAAAATCATCGAATTTTTCGAATAGAACAGGATCAGACGGATGACGTCTCTCTGTATATTTATGTAAGCTTCTAACCGTATGAATCTACTTCCTGTTGCCGGTTTGCTCGGGAAATGCGGATCGGATCTGACCAATGACGTATTTCCGGTACAAATTTTTGTTTTTCGATTCGTTCCCTAACCATAAGAGTAGTGAAATGTGACTTTAGTTCTCATATAACTGCAATGTGTATAGAGCAAATCGCTTCGTTTAGCTACTTCTTTCCAGTCTCTAAACTTCTATCACTGGTTTTGCTTTGTTTAATGTTTATCCAGTCGATCGATTTTCTTGTAAACACGTTGCCAAACCAACCAGTGTTGAACAGAAAAAGAATCCTCAATAACTACTTTTCTCTGATTTTATAAATATTTTTATAAAAGAATTAAAGAGAACATTTCTCGTTTAAATTTATTTATTTTATTAAATGTATAATGTTTAATTAAAATAAATAAGACAAAAATTACTAAATTAATTAATGTCTATCAAATGTCCATGATAAATTTTTGAAATTTAAATGACAGTAAATATCTCCTCCTACTTTTTTACTCTTCGACCAATCATCGTCAAGATGTCCGTATTTTTAACCAATCATCTTAAGCTAATCTAATCTTTTATAAAATTTATGAGAATTTGTATCAGAAATATAGCAGAGGACGTATTACAT